CAAGGTACTTCTTTTCTCAAGGACACATATTATGGACACAGAACAACCACCTTCCGGGCTTCCCTGCCACCAGCTCTCAGGGACCAGACTTCTGGCTGCCCAAAGCTCCCACAGCATAAGTGCCATGAGCTGCTCTAGTGACTGCCTGGGGAAGGAGGGCTACCCAGACTGCAGCACCTCGCAGACCTGAGTCTTGCCCTGCTCTATTAGCTGCGTCCCCCCCACCCCCCCACCCCCCGCCCAGTGCTTGGTTTCCTTTCCTTCCCGGGTCAAAGGGCTTCTCTGGAGGTCCCCAACTTCTTTACAATGTGCTGACACCATAATGCATGCTGAACCAGGGACACCAAGACTTTGGGAAGGGTGCGAGAAAAGATGCTTGTTACTCTTTAACAGGTGTTAAAACTGCTTCCTGCTGCTCCGTTAACCAAAGTAGGTGAGCTTTCATTCCTTCAGTTCACAGAGAAAGCTGATAGTGCTTGCAGAAGTGTCAAAACCTCACTCACATGTTTACCACTAGTGACACAAATCTTTTTTTTTTTTTTAAATGTTCTTTTTAACACGGGAACTTTCGTTAATAAAGTAACACTTTTTTTTTTTTTTTTTTTTTTTTTTTTTTTTTATTCAAAAGGAGATGTGGTGAGTCCCACTCCCAAGGGGGGAAAAAAAAATGAAAACCAGGAAGAAGGAAAACTCAGAAACAAGTTATGGTTTTCCTCTTTGTGGGAGAGAAATCTGCACTCTCTTTTGGGCCAACTATTTGAGGCTAGTCTGACCAAAGTATGGCCAAACATTATTTGTACCAGGACAAGATTCAGGTTAGGATGAACCTGAAACAAGTCTGTCTCATCATTTGGAAAGAAACCATCTTGATATAGATGAGACACACTGCCCCTGCCCAAGAAGGGGTCAGCTAACCCGAGGGTTCTATTTGACCTTTGCCCTTATGGTTCAAGAGGCCAGGGCAGCCAGGGCTGGTGTGAGAGCTGTGTGTTCACTCTTAGCAAGGATTAAAGGGAGTGACTCATTCGTCACAGCCCACACAGTGCCATTTCCCTGGCAGCAGGAGCCTTTCAGAAAATGGTGCCTTGGAGACGAAAGGGAGGGGACAGAAAAAGAGAGGGAGGGGACACCAGCCTGGGCTCCTGATGCTGTATCCATATGATTTGTATCCACATGGTTTGTCTGTTTTCCTTCCCGTGACTCCAGAGCTTTCTAGCACAACGGTTGGCTCAGGTAATCGATCCAAGGAGTTTCCCTTTTAAATGGTTTTTCTTTCTTTCTTTCCTTTTGGGTTGTGTGTGTGTATGTGCATACCCTGGTGTGTGTGTGTGTGTGTGTGTGCGTTTTGTGTGTGTGTGTGTGTGCGTTGTGTGTGTGTGTGCACACGTGCGTGTGTACCTATGTGTAAGTAGAGGTCAGAGTCTACCTTGGGTGTCTTCCTGAATCGTTTTACGTCTTATTTTTGAGGCAGTCATTCACTGACCCTACAGCTTCCAGTTTGGCTAGAGAGGCTGGCCAACTAGATCTTCCAGTCTCCTGATGGTATTACAAAAGCTTTTATGGGGGTTCCCGGGGTAAGGTGGTGAACCATGAATGGACCCTCATGCCATGTAGCCCCACCTCCCTCTCTGAGACAGGGTCCCACTATCTGGCTCTACCTGGCCCAGAACTTTTTGTGCAAAACAATTTGGTCTGGAGCTCACAGAGATCTGTCTGACTCCAGAGAGTCCTAAAAAGGAAAAATCTCCTAAGCAAAGGCTTAGGATGGGAGTTAATGCTAAGTCAGGAGCATGCCCCAGAACAAGAGTACCACATGTCTGACAAGAAAACTCTCTTTTATTTTTCTTCCCTGCATCGTTCCTGGAGGTTCTGAATAGGAGGTCAATGGGTGGAGTGGGTGGAGCAAGCTCTCATCCCAATTCCTAGCTCCAAAAATCCATTTAATATATTGTCCTCAGATAGATGACATATCAGATATTAAACCAAAAGGCCGAGAAGCATCGTTTCTTTGCTTTCTGAGGCGGGATCTCATGTAGGCTTGACATGGAGTGGATAATCTTGAGCTGCAATTCCCTTTTCCCCCACCTCTCAAGGATTAGGGTTACAGACATAAGGGATACCCTACACCCACGTCTGCCTCTTCCATTACTGCTTGTATGATAAATGAACAGACACAAGAGCAGTGAACAGGCTGCATAGCACTGCCCCAGGTTACTATATGGATGTGAGGACATGGAATTAGTTTATTTAGAATCTGAGCTTTAATAATTTTTTTCCTCAAGGGGGAAAAAAAAGAACCCAACCCAAGCAACACAAACCTTTCAGGACTGGGAATGCCACCCACTGCTAGCGCTTTTACCTCAAATTGTTGAGGGCCCTGGGAGCCATCCTCCAAACGAACAAAAACCCATCTCAAAACTCAGCACTGGTGTATGGCACAAATACTCTATCTTTGGAGTCTTGAGAAGAGGCTGCCAGAGTTCCACAGAAGCTGGTTCTGCCTGACATTTCTAACCCTTCTCCCATAGATGGGAGGGACCTTCTGGTCATTCCATCATCTATCTAGTTTTCTCATTCACAGATGAGTAAACAGAGGCCCAGAAAGCATTCTGGGATGTATCTAAATGGCTGAGAAACACAAGTGTTTTCTTCATTGTGCTATATTTCCACATATAAAAAATAAAAATAAAAAAAAATGGGGAAAAAAAGAAGCCCTCAATTATTCTGAGCCCTGAAGCTGCTACTTCAGCTAAAACCAAGTCCAAGAGCCACCCTACCCAACTGATACATCCTGGTGAGCCCACTGGGCTCTACAGTTAGTTCCAAGTTTAGGATCACACAGTCAGCCCTAGATTAACTCCATGAGACACTAAATAAAACTAAATGAGTGAGTATGGGAAAGAGATCTATAATTGGGGGAGGGGCAGCGGGCAGGGGTGAGGGTGGGGATAGGGAGAGCAGAGAGGAAGAGTAACCAGGTACATACTCGAATACGAATTGGTCAAAGACCAAGCTTTACTAAGAAACAAAGAGAGCTATCTGCTAAGTTCCTGATCCTAAAGCCCAGAAGATGCATGGTTCAGGAAAGAGGTCCACATCTGTAGAGCGTCCAGAGGTGACCTGAAATCCTACAGTCAGAAACCACCGATGATGCTGCAAGATAACAGCAGAGCCAAGTGGATCTGGACATAGGAAACATGGAAACAGACAAACAAAAACCCACCACAGTAAGTAGGGCTTTGTCTCAGCCATTGGCTTAATCCAATGAGGTCTAGGTACCTACCCTCTCTCAAATTCTAGTTCTCTTCAATCCAAGAGCACTGACTAAACCTGGACTGAAACTAAGACTCATGACTTGGATCTCCTCGCCCCTCTCTTCCCAAGCTCCTCCCACATTAGCTTCAGCCATTTCTAGAGGCAAAGCAGGCCTCCAGTTAAGATTTGTTTATAGAGAAAGGTGACCCAGGCAGTCTTGTGCGTTCACCAGGGTCTACTCATACAAGTAAAGATGCACAGGTAACACCCTGGCGTCCTGACTGACCTGCTGTGCTTAGTCTTTCTGTGGGGGTCATCACATGCCTCCTTGGCATGTCTCCGTAAGAGGAGGTAAAACAATTAGGAGAGGGAACGCTCCCTAAACCGAAACACACCAACTTCAGTCTGACATGATTTATTGGAGGGCTCACTGACTGACAGATCTTAAACTCCTGACTCTTTGGCCTCTATTTCCCAAGAGCTGGGGATGTAGGAAAAATCCATCATACCTTTGGATCATAATTCATTAGTCTATCATCACACCCTTTTCCTTTGGAGACAGAGTCTCTCTGTGTAGTCCTGGCTGGCCTGGAACTCACTGAAGACCAGGGTGGTCTCAAACACATCACGATCTACCTGTCTCTGCCTTGTGAGTGCTGGGATTAAAGACACATGCTGCATTTTATTCTTGAAGTGACTAAAAGAACACAAAAGATGTCCATCTAATAACAATAACATACAATCTATGGGTTCTTTCAATATGTAATTCAAATGAATGTCTACTTATAAACTATTATATATACCAGAGTAATCTTAGAGTTAAAAGTAGACAAGTACTTGGTGTGTATAAAAGCTACTGCAAAAAATAAATACAAGAAGACTAAAGACCTCAGAAGCAGCAAGCAGCTTTACAAAAAGACATTGACAGATTTTAAAATATTATTGGTGCTGAGGACGATTTTTATTCACGTGATTACTATTTTTGCTCAATGCCACTAACTTTCAATTTATAATAAAACTGACACACCCTTTATAGCTGCTTTACAACTATAAATCTATTTCAGATACTATGGTCACAAGGGTGTAAACATCTGGGTGAATCACGAAATAGCCCCACCGTTTGTAAGTCCCCAACACTTTAATGAACACAATTGTCTCTTAGTCATCTCATTCTGCAGTGGATTTTGACAATGTGAAAATCAACGCCATAAAAACTGACTTCAGCAAGACAAGTGAACAAGTCAAATTTAGTTACTTAAATCCACTTTTTTTTTTCCTCCAACCACTTTCTGTTAAAGTGAGCTTTCAATCGAATTCAAGAAAATATAGCAATATGTTTTAAAACATTTAAAGAAAAGTTAGTTAGAGCATGCTAACAGAACCAACTTGTAACATATCATTGCAAAATTTTACCAAGATGCTATCTTGGACATTTTACTGGTGCAAGTTGCATAAATCTATGCAACAGATGCTGTTCAGAGCGAAGAGGAAGGAACAGCATCTTTAACACCAACTCTATTTAAGAAACAGTACCAAATGCTCCCCTGTTTTGTAGCTAAGGCTCCTCAGCTAATATTTTTAATTTTATATATTGGAGCCATCAAAGACAACCGACCACAAAGAATAAGAACACAATGAAACCCTTGTGTTAACACACTGCAGTAGGAAAGGCATGTGCAATAAACATCTACATGTTATCTCAGTCAAGTTATCTGCTAGCAGCAGCAATGGCCGTGCATCCTTACCAATGAATTTCTGAGGCATTGAACTTTTCCGTTTTGCCACATTGCTTGCTAATCTGTCCAGAACGAGCGCTCTTTCACTTCCCATCTCCGCTTTCATGTGTCTTGCCTCCACACTTGCTGGTTTGGAAGAAGAGGGAGAAGAGCACATTGGTAAATGGAGAGAATGGGAAAGGGAAATCAGCTGGAGAAGCATCCAGGGGCTGAGGCACACAGAGAGTTGTCATTACCTGCTCCTGCTCGGTTTCCTGCCCTGGGTACCTGCTGTGGTCAGTGAGACCGATTCTGGGGCACATTCAAATCTTGCAGTCTTATGCTGAGATGGGAAAGCCCGACCCATCCCCAGCTAGTACCTTCATTAGCAAGAGGAAGTGTTGAAGAAACAGCTTGGACGTGGTTGGTTGCAAAAAAGATAGATAGATGGAGGCCTTTAACCTCAGCAGCCTTCGTTCTGATTCTGAGTAACTGCATGTGACACCTGCACACTGATATAATTCTTCTTAACAACTTGGAAAAAAAAAAGGCACGGTGCAAAGGCACGGTGCCCCAGATTTGCTGCTCTGTTTATGTTAATAGCACTTTTGAAAATAGATACATTCACCAAGATAGCAAGAAATCTACTCAGTGTGATTTGGGTATTGAAATACTGAGTCATTTTTTTCTTCACTCACTACGTTTCTCTCAGTTCTTATCTTTCAAATTCCGTTTCTCTGGGTTCTGTGTGTTGCTTCATATATTCTCCACATCTCAAAGTTGTTTCCATCAAAGTGTCCCTGAACCATGCTGTTGTCTTAAAATTAAAGAGCAATTTGTATACTGCATTTCTATTATATTTCTAATGAAAAATGAAGATGGGAACTGAGTGAGAATGTGGATTGGTTATCAATTCACTGATAGGCATCTGAGTGGCGTAGACTGGAGTTCTCAGAGCTGGCTGCAAATTAGTATAACCTAACCGCCACCAAGCACCAGCACACGTAAGAAATACCTATAGGTAGATTCTCTTTCACTCTGCAGGGGGGCCAGGACAACAGTGCTTCCAAAGCTCCCTAGATGATTTTAAAAGGCAGCTACAACAGGACAAGGTGGCTTATGCCTGTACTCCCAATACTTGGGAGACTGAGGCAAGAGGATGGCTATGAGTTTGAGACTAGCCTGACCTACACAGGGAGTTGCAGGCCATTCTAGGCTACCATGTGAAACTGGGGAGGGAGAGCAGCCAGAATTTCAGTGCGCTAGAAGAATATAAAAATAGCATCAGTGCACTGAAATAATAAAGTGGAACAGACATATTTACTTTGGTACAGCCACCATAAATATAAGACCCAAAACTTCACAATACTGGGGTCAAGTAAATAATTGTGGTGAAAGACAAGAGTAAACACTGTGTATGATCATTTGCAATCATTGTTATTTTTGAGGCAGGGTCTTTCTGTTTCATAACTCCAAGGCTGGCTTCAAATGCAGAATCGTCTTGTTTCAACCTCTCAAGTTCTGGGATTACACATTTGAACTGCTACACTCATGTTGGTAGTAACTGTTTTTAAATTTGTGGGACACACAGTCCCTCTCTGTCTTAGTGCTTTCTGTTCTATATATCTTTTAAAATGTAAAAGTTGGACCAGAGAGATGTCTCAGCAAGTGACATGCTTTCTACTTTCTATATAAAAGCATGGGTACCTGAATTTGGATCCCCAGGACCCACCTAAAGAGCCCAAGCCTGTAATCCCAACACTGGGGAAGGGGGAAGCAGGGACAGCAGCATCCGAGAGGCTCGCTGACCAGGCAATCTAGCTGAATCACAAGCCCCAGGTTCAATGAGAGACTCTGTTTCAAGAATTAAAGTGGACAGTGATTGAAGAAGACATTCAAAGTCCATTTCTGGCCTCCAGGCACACCTGTACACACACAAACATGGACACATTCATATACCACACATAAGCAATAAATAAACAGTAAGAACCCTGTATACAAACAGATTGCTGGCTACATTGACCCCAGACACATGGTGCACACACCCCCTACCCTAGCAAACATATTGTGATATTATGAACATGTTTCTGTTCTGTCTGAGCACTTCAGAAAGTCTAAACCAAAAAGCCATACACTTCTAATGTGTCTAAGGAAGAAGAAAATGTAATTAGTTTAAGGGCCTGTTGCATACATAGATTTGAGAACTGTCTGCACCTGTCCTGTAGTTGAAGAGTCTGAAGTATTTGCCACATGAAGAGATTCCAATATACAGAATTGTCACACATTCCATGGTCTTGCAGACATATGTCCAGAGAAAAGGACACTGGCTACCTTTGCAGAAAAGTAGCCCAGAAAGGTCTCTAGGGCAAGACAGCCAGACTGGCCACAGAGAGTCAATGCCAGATAAGAAAACGATCATTCCAAGCATGAATTGTTTTCCACTTTATCTATTTCAGGTGTTAAACAGTGTAAAGTGTTGTGTGTTTTTAACAATCAGTCATAAGGGAAAGCGGTCTCCCAAAGTGAAAAAACAAGCATTGTGACAATGCCAATATTGTTTGACTTTGGCTCTCGTCAAAGAATAATTCCTGAAGCTGGGTGGTGGTGGCACATGCTTTTAATCCCAGCACTTGGGAGGCAGAGGCTGAAAGGTCTCTGTGAGTTCGAGACCAGACTGGTCTACAGAGTGAATTTCAGGACAGCCAGGACTGTTTCACAAAGAAACCCTGTCTCAAAAAACAAATAAACAAAAAAAAAAAAAAAAAAAAAAAAAAAAAAAAGGGAAAATCTTGGTTCTAAAGTAATGCATCCTTACTTGTGGTTCAGCTGTCAACAACGATTTATGTAAATAAGAACACTATGTTCAGGACCAGTGCTCTAGGCATCTTTCAGACTCAGTAAAAGTCCTTGGTGACAGGAGACTGATACTGAGTGAATTCTGTCCAGTCAAGGGACAGGTTAAAATGACCAAACAGGAAATGATCACACATATTATTTCCTTGCACATAAACCACTACCAGATGTGGCACTACCCCAAAGCCCCTTGAACAGAGAGATGAAAGACAGCCTGGGACTTGAAGACAGTTTCTAATACAAGGGATTGTTGGTTTTTGTTTTGTTTGTTTGTTTGTTTGTTTTGTTCTTCCTGTTTCTTAGAAGTAGGGAAAAGGTAGCTATATGTGTACTCTAGGAGTGTTGGAGAGGGTTAGAGCCACCGCTCCTGTATCTGTTATTGAAATGACTTGGGCTGAAATGAAGATAAAAATCATTTGAGAAATTTTTACTTTGGAGCCAACTTTACCACTGTGTTTGTCCTTTTTAGTCCCTCCCCTCATGGTCAATTCATGACCTAGGACCTGTCCTAAGCATGACGCCTCAGTTTCCCACTTATTGCTTAGGAGTCACTGCTTATGTTTTACCAAAGTCACCATCAGCAGCAACAGTTTTGTGGGAGGATGCTGATGCATGGACACATTGACCTAAATAACTGTAATTAGGGCATGTCACTAAATGGCAACCTTCTGAGATAACATCACTTTTTCATTCCTGGTTACCCACCATGCTGGTCTTGACAGTCATTTCCAGATAACTCTCACCATGTCAATCAGTGACCAAATGGCTGACATTTAAGAAAACAACATTCTGGAGTGTTCATGGGTGGGAAGATGATCTGAGGCACAAGTGAAGGCCTTCACACTTCCATAGCTCTGTTTAGGGGGAAATGCCTCCTGCAAGAAATCAAGAGGCCTCTCATTCACTGCCCCCTTCTCAGATCTGTTATTCAGAAAGCTGACTCTCAGATCCAGACTCTCCCAACCATGGGAACACACCCCAGGGACTGAGTTCACCTTCACAGCCTTAACTGCCTTCCAACTGCTGAGTGGACAAAGGCTGATTGGCAACAAAATAGGGAACACTTTTATTTTCTTTCCTAGACTTTGTGTCTTTTTACCTCTGAATTGTCAGACAGCTGATGAACAAAACCACTGAATGGTCACCTTTTAAACACCAAATCAGCTGTCAGTTAGCCAGGTTTGGAGACTGTTCAGAGAGCATACTGAAAAGACAAAAGAGAAGGAAGGCCTTCTGTCTTTGGGTCTTCCCTCCACCTTTAGGACTGTCTCTTCACTCAGTCTAGACTTGTTTTCTCAATATATGGAGTCTCAGAAAAGTGAGTGGAAGCAAACGAGTTTGGCAAGATGGCAAAGGAAGAAGATAATGAGCTTAAATGATGCAATAGGAAATCCGTTCCTAGGTGGTACTTGGCAGTTTAATGTTGCCAGGGTGGGGGTGGGAGATCTGGGATGCTGGACATTGGCACATTTGATGCCTGAGTGGGCACAGGCAGGGCTGCAGTCCTGGATCAATTTCCCTGTATGTTATTTGTCTACTATGTAGTAGGTTGTGTCAATTTTCATTAGCAACAGATTTTAGAGACATACTGAAAAAAATAAAACGTCATTGAAAGCCACACTTATAAAAAATAATCTATTGCCTTTAATCCCTGCACAATTCTTAACTGTTAAGTGCCTCCATGATGCACTTTTAAATCTCAAAGTAATTGTAGCTTTGACTGTATGATTGTGTTTTGCTTTTGTTTTTACAAAATCCTTCATTAGGGCTCGAAGTGTTAAATGGAGCTTAAAGCAGCCATTGCATCCGGCCTCTTCTATGGTGTGGTCAGCAGCTAATGGAGACAGGAACAAAGCGGAGTCATTGTGCAACAAGATTGTCTAACAACAGATTGCTATCAAAGACAAGGCAGGTTCAAACAAAAGAGTTACATGAGACTGTTGCCCTGTGGAGCACGTAAAATGAAGACTGTTAGGAATACATACTTGTTTTTTGTTTTTGTTTTTTTTTAACTTTGAGAAGAAAGTGTGCTACATTGGTAAAAATCTAATTTCCTCCTGAAGCCCTTGTGCTTTTATTAGCTCAACTGAAGCAAAGAAAAAGAATAAGAAGAAGAAGAAGAAGAAAAAAAAAAAACTCCTAGACTCACAAATAAATATGATCAGTTATTCACTTAAGGCTTTTTCTTTTTGGCAAGGTCTCTCTAAGCAGTTCTGGAACTGTCTATGTAGCAGTTACATTGTAGACCAAGTTGGCTTTGAATTTACAGAGATCCTCCTGTTTTTGCCTTCCAAGTGCTGGGTTTTAGTCACTCACTTCATAAATGTTATTATCAGCAATAGTGTGCTTGTCTAGAATGGGCAAGACCCTGGGTCTGAGCCTCAGCAATGCAAACATTATTTCTAGAACTTATGACTATTCACAAAAAGTTTGGCTACAAGTATAATTGGTATGAAACGAGGCCACATGAACATTATAAAGATCAAGGAGATGAAGTCTGTGATGGTCTGTTGTTCCTTCTGGCCATCTGTACTCCACCAGGCAGCAGGAATACTGTGACGATGTCACTCATGGCACCTGCTGTAAAGACTTGGGCTAAACTTACACTGACTCATGTGTCTCCATTATTAGACTAGTGACTCAAAGCACTGTGCATTCTTCGGGGAGTAGGGGTTTAGCTTTTACTCGTCTTTGCAAACAGGTCATGGCACATACAGAATCCAACCAGCAATGTCTGAATAAAAGAAAGGACCAGCAAGACAGAAGTCCTGTCACTTTGCAGTGGCATTTTTTGGGAGGCTGGTCTTTACTCCCAGGCCTTTTCATCGGTCCCCTTCCAGGGAGGCCTGCTTTCCAGGATAGACAGCTCTGTCCCTGGCTTGGCTCTCACATTACACTACAACTTAACTTACTTACTTTTCTTATTTTTGAGATAAGGTCTTGCTATCCTACCCTCTAACTCAGACTCCTCCTGCCTGTCTCCTGTTGCTATACTCAGCTGCACTTTGATTTAAACATGATCTTGCTGCATGAGTGTGCCATGCAAGGAAACCCTAAAATAGTATTTTAGAAGTAACAGAAGAAATAAAGGTTTAGGATTACCACCCTGGGGCTGGGGGTAAGTTTAACTGCCTGAATGCCTACTCTGCATAAAGTTCTGGGTTCTGTTCCCAGTGCCACATCAAACTGGGCATGGTGACACATTCTTGTAATCCCAGGACAGAGAGAAGTGGAGGCAGAGATCAGAAGTACAAGATTTTTTTTTTCGGGGGGGATTACTGCATTGGTCAGGGTTGGAATAGAACACTGTATCTATACTGGACTCCTAGTTACAGGAAGGAAATAGAAATGAAAACCATAGGAGGAATGGTGTCAGGGTAGGATGGGCTTGTGTTAGATCAAAAAGTCTTTACATTTGGATATTGGAAAAATGTATAGGCACTATTTAAAACCTAAGAGACCTAGACATATAGTATAGGTATGAGGTATTTATACTCCATTAAGCTGTGACTTTACCCATTTTGTAACCTAAAACCATTGCTATGGCATACTTGTTTTTTTTTTTTTTTTTTTTTTTAAATCAAAGCCAGGCATGGTGGTGCACACAGGAAAAAAAGAAAGAAAGAAAGAAAAAAAAAAAAAAAAAAAAAAGAAAGAAAGAAAGAAAGGAAGGAAGGAAGGAAGGAAGAAAAAGAAAAGACAAACCAATCAGTCAGAACTTGCTGACTTGACTTAGTTAACTCTTGACTTTTTGCTGATACTTAAAATATGTTGCACGCATCCAGCAAACAGCCCTATGGATGCAAATTAGCTCAGTCAGCAGCTCCGCACCTCCTGCCCCATCACCCTGAATAGCCGAAGTACTTCTGAATAGCCTAAATACTTCTTTTGGTAACTTTTTAAATTAAATTGCTAAAATGGCATGGAGATATGAAGTAAAAGTTACTTAAAAAATAATCATCTCAACATTGTATATGGGATAGAACTTGCCAATTCCCTCTTCCATTTCTAGGGAAATCAAGACACACACACACACACACACACACACACACACACACACACACGTCTATTCAGTATATGTTGCTATATTTATTTTGCTGTCCAGATAATATATGATCACTAAAAATATAGCTTATTATTTCCCAAAAGAAAAATAAATCCCCCTCTATTAACTATGACTAGAAAAGCACAATATGGTAAATTCATACAATGGACTCAGCTACAAAACAGAATGAAGCACTAATACATGTTTCGGCATAGGTGTAACCAAAATCATTATGTTTATTAGAAGTAAGACTAAAAAGGCTTCACACGATGTGACTGCACTTATGTGAAATATCATCTAATAGGGAAATCAATAGAGACCAAAAGTAGGTGAGTTGTTGCCCGTCATGGGAGGGGGTGGGGGAAATGACTGTTAGTAGGCAGGAGGTCTCTCTTGGGAGTGGTGAAATGTCCTGGAATTAGATAATGAAGATGTCTGTACAGCTTTATTTATTTATTAATCTATTCTTTGTTGTTGTTTTTTGGAGAACAAGTCTCTCTACATAGTTTTGGCTGTCCTGGAACTCTCTCTGTAGACCAGGCTGGCCTCAAACTTAGCGATCCGCCTGCCTCTGCCTCCCAATGCTGAGTCTGAAGGAAGTGCCACCATGCCTGACTACTATAGACTGCTACAGATTGATCTTAACTTATACTTTAAAAGGAAGAAACACTGCCAAACATATGCATGTGTGCACATATGCACTCGTGTGCCTGCTTGCACACACAAACCAAACCAAACAAGCACACTAAAGCTCTGGGGATTTTTAAGGGAGCCACTGGATTTTGACATGTCTTTGTTTTCCCACCTCTAAAGTGAGAAGGTAGAATTAGCTGTTTCTTTTATGGGCAAACACTAACTCACTACTAATCATGCCACTTAAGGTGGCAAACACCAAGCTTTCATTGTTTTTCTTAAGGTAACAAGCAGCACTCCTTAGAAATGAGGAGGAATGAGAGTCCTTGATAAAACTCAAGATACCATCCGGAAGAAAGGCAAAAGCAAGCAAAGACCCAGAGGCTTCAGTTGGTCAGCCCCTGAACCAACCAGGAAACAGGCTTAATTGGAAGCCCAAGCTCGCTTCCACCCCATAGGAACACTCAGGATTTCCACTCTGCTTCCCATGATGCTCACATTGCTCTGTCACACTCTGTACTCAGCAGTTACAGCTGTCAACCACCAATGCCCACAAGCACTGCTTCCCATTCTAAATAAGCGCTTGGCTCTCGCAACCAATAACCAGCCAAAGAACCAAGCTTTAGGCTGACTCGATTAAAGACTAGAATAAACAAAACCACACTGGATATGGAGGAGGACACACATAGTATTTCATTCTGTGGCCAGAAGGCACACCATTCAAATCCCTGGGGGAAATAGGAAATCCGTCATGGCCAAGTACAAACACCACAGTAAGTCACGTGTGTGGACAAGGACATCCTTCTGGGCCCTGTGCAAAGAAAATCCTTCCATGTTTTAACTGATTCTTCCTACCCACTCCACCCAGTCTGCACCGCCCTCCGATATTGCCATTCCATCACAGTTAGGAAACCCGTTGGCTCTACCTTTGAAACGAGTTTACAGAATCATATGCCGTAACTCCCCTCACTGCCAAGATACAGTTCCCTTTGGCTTGAATTCTTGCCACAGATTCCCAACTGGATTTCCCAAGATCTGTCTGGCCTTGTCCTCAAAACAGTCTACTCTCAGGAACAAAGCAGGGTGATGACTTTCAAATGAGAAGTCCGATGATGTCACCTCTCTGTGCTCAAAGATTTTCAGTTTCACTCAAAGGTCTTTACAATGGCCTACAAGCCTGATAAGATGTGGTTTCCCCTTCCCCTCTGGCTTCATGTCCCATTGCTCACTCTGTTCCAGGCACACAGGGCTATATTTACATTTCTTCTTATGGGAGCATCAAGACCTGTGCACATACCGACCCCTAGGGATCTGTGGGGCTGGCTGCCCTGCCTTCAAGACCTTCAGGGCATTACCTGGTTGACACCGTCTCTGGTTCACCCTTAGCCCTCACTTCCTGCTCTACTTTTCTCCACAACAGTATCTCTCTTTGCTTATTCATTCTGTCTATAATCTGTCTCCACCTCCTAGGAAGGTAAATGCTCACTGACAAGTTGTGGGGGGGCAAGCCCTGTGGAACTTACTGGCATCCCCCAGGTCGGAATTCTGAAGAAACGTGCGGCATCGCTCTTTGTGCTCTTCCAGGGAACTTCTCTGCTTGTAGCTCCTTCCGCAGAATTCACACTTGTAGGGTTTCTCCACTAGAAGGAAAACACAGAGCACTCAGGGACTCCACACACCAAGACCCTGACTGAGGAGACTAGTCTCTAGGAATGAGCCTGCTGGCCCAGCCAGACCCACACCTCCAAGTCTCTGTCAATGTCAAGTCTGGTAAGCTGCAACAGGGCTACAGTCTGGGATGGGACTATTACACCAGAATATTGAAAAGGATGGACTCCTAGCACAGAGGGAAGGGTCTGCAGCGTGCAATTGCTGTTTGACTTAGTGCTTGGCTCCTGGCTAAACCTTGTTTCTTTTCCATTAACAAAAGCAGGTCCCAGGGCTGGAGAGATGGCTCAGCAGTTAAGAGTACTGGCTGTTTTTCATGAGGACTGAGCTTTGGTTCCCAGCACCCAGATGGGGTCGTTCACACTGCCTCTAACTCCAGTCCCATGGGGTCTGGAGTTAAAAATAAAGGGGAGAGAGAGAGAGAGAGAGAGACCAGGGTACTTTATTCAAGGAGGGTAGTGTGATATCAGGGCCAGGTGTGGTGGCACACACCTTTAATCCCAGCACAGACAGGAGTTGTGAGTGAGGCCAGCCTGGTGTACATAGAGGTACCCTATCTCAAAACCAAAACAAAGCAAATTATTTGGGACCTGGAACAATGGTTCAGCAGTGGAGATCACTTACCTACTGGGCTGGAGAGCTTGCCCTATGGTTAGAGCACTCTGCTCTTTCAGAGGATCTGAGTTTGGTTCCCAGCACCCATGTGGCAGCTTACCACCATCCATACTAACTCTAGTTCCAGGGGATCTGATGAACTTCTCTGACCTCCTTGGGTACATGTATGCAGAGAAAACTCTCATTCACATAAAATTGATTGAATGAGAAGGCATTCTTCCTATTTTGTGATGTCCATCTAACTGTAAATTTGAAATAAGGTAGTCTGTGGTCATTAGAATTGGGCAAGATGTTTGGATTGTGTGAGCCATTCCTGACAAATGGCTTTTAACAAGTATGGCCAAAGACAGGGCTGATTAACAAAGATTTTTTTTTAAAAAAAATTTATTTAATTTTATTTTATGTGCATTGGTGTGAAGGTATCAGATCCTCTGCAACTGGAGTTACAGACAGTTGTGAGCTGCCATGTGGACACTGGGAACTGAATCCAGGTTCTCTGGAAGAGCAGCCTGTGCTCTCAAGTTAAGAAACTGCTGAGTCAGTTCTCCAGCCCCAACAAAGAACATTTTTAACAATAGAATTAAGAATAAATTCCAGCAGTTAGGTATAGTTGCATATGCATTTAATAACAGCACCCTGGAGTCAGAGGCAGGTGAGTTTCTATGAGTTTGAGACCAGCCTGGGTCTACATAGTTAGTTCCAGGACATCCAAGGCACATAGCGAGACCTTGTCTGGAAAAACAAGTAAGCAAGCAAACAAACAAAAGGAACAAATTGCAAAAATGACTTCAACTAATTTTCTAAAACAAACCCAAAGTTTCCTCATAAGTTTGCACATATCTGTTGATAAAACTCAACCTAAAAAGTTGTCAGCATTTTAGACTGAAATATGTTTTTCCCCTTTTTCTTTCTGTGGTGCTTTGTGTCAGTCATCTGGTTCCATCATGAGATGTTTTATCTTCCAATTCCTCTTGCTTTGGGAATAAACGCATCCTCAAAAGAGCCTTACAAAATCCCAAACCAAAATAAAACACTGCTTTGCAATGGCTAAAAATGTTATGTTTCCTTATAACTTGGGTACTCTGGAACATGTCTCAAGGGACTTATCTGTACTGAGCTTGAAAAAGAGCAACAGGAGAGAAATCTTCTTTCTTTCCATCAAACCCATCCTTAATATGTTACATTGACAAATGAGTTAAAGAGAAGGAGAAGGAAGAAAAACCCTCCTTTCCACATGTGATCTGTCATGGGTTTCGCTGAGGTCAGCTTGTTTAATCTTACTCTGAACTGTGAGCAGTTTTGAGATTGGGGTTTAGTCAAAGCAGTAATGTGGACTGCCATAAAAACAAACTCTCTTTCTCTCTTTTTAAATTAAAAAAATTGCCAGATAACATCAAGAACACGAGGTCTTAATTTTGAAATTAAGACCGCCTTATCTTTCTAAAAGGGAAATTCTAAATGTTAAAAAAAAAAAAAAAGTGTCACCTTGCTTGTTCAAAATAAGGATTGAAAAGTTGGAGGCAGCATGTGGCTTTTTAAGAATTCTTGTTGTTGCTCTTTGAGCTTAAAAAAAAAAGTGGGTTGAGGAAGGGGAAAGTTGGGGTTAGGAAATTTATCCAGAAGCTGGGTAAGGCGGTGCATGCCCACGAGTATAGCACACAGAAGATAAAGGCAGGAAGATGGCTACAACTTTGAGGCTAGCCTGGTATACATAGTTAATCCAGTTTAACCAGGACTAAAAAGTAGGACCCCTGTCTCAAAACACGAAACAATCACAAAACCAAGCAAACAATCAAAAAGAATAAGAAATGTATCCCAGAACAACCAAAAGGAACCTGAAATAATAACTTATGCCTGATTTACATTTTATTATTATTTTAAATTATGTGACATCTGATGCGTGGGTATGTATATGTGAGTATAAGAGCTTGTGGTAACCAGAAGTATGGGACCCCCTGGAGATAGAGTTGAAGTTAGATTCTGTGGTTGCCAAGCGTGAAACCCTGATACCCTAGAAGAGCAATCTGTGCTCTCAACCACTGAGCCGCCTCTTCAGACCCCTGCTTTACACTTTTTAATAATTTACAAGCTGCACATAGTTTGCTTTTGTAGTTTTTCTGAATGGAAGACTGGAAAATGGACGTGTGCTTATTAAAGAAATAGACTTTTTATAAGGTTTACCATAAAAATACTGACGGCCACAATTTTTCTCATAAAAACTATGAAGGCATTGTAATTTGTCTGTTGTTCTCCAGACACAAGGATGCTGGAGACGGTTTCCACTGAGGCAGACGGAGAGCAATTAATGTCTTAATGGAAGTGCGGTTAGCCCTAGAGGTCTCTGTTGATGAAAACCTTCAGAGGGCGCGTGACAGATTGAAGCCACCACATTTAACTCTTTCTTGTTTTCACAGTCACTAGATGTGCAATGCTTGTGTCCCTCACTTACCAGAATGCGTCCTCAGGTGTCCCGTGAGCGCATCTCTCCTTTGACATGCGTAGTTGCAGAGGTGGCACTTGAAAGGTTTTTCCCCTGTGTGCAGCTTAATGTGGCGGAGGAGGTTACCTTTCTGAGTAAAAGATGCCCCGCACTGATTACACTGGAACGGGCGTTCACCTTCAGAGAGGATGAAGAAGGAGAGCTCTGATCACAAAGTGAGTGGGAAAGCATGAGCAAAGACTAGATGTCTACGGCAAAAGCCCACCTCCTGGGCGGTTCCACCCCCAGTGAGAGATCACTTGGGAGCTACATTCTGAGGTGAAGAGACTTGTGGGATCTTCTTCCTTGAAGAATGAACACTCCCACTCAATAATTCTAGTTATCTTGCTCTGAGTCACTGCCAAGGGCTATGAGCAGCCTCAGGAGCTGTCTGGAGGTTTCTCTCTTTCTTGGCATCTGAATGCAGTTGCATTTGAGGAAGGACTCAGAGATGAAAGCCTTCTTGTACTTCTGAGATGAGGGCCTCACTACATAGCCCGGCCTGGAACTCACTGTGTAGACCAGGTTGACCTCAGACTCACAGAGATCCCCCTGCCTCTGCCTCCTGAGTGCTGGTGCTGGGATTAAGGTCTTTTGTTTTGTTTGGTGGTTTTACTCTTTTTTTTCTTCTTGACAGGGTTTTCCTCTGTAGCCAAGCATGGCATGGAACTCAGAATGGTCTGTTTCACTCTCCTGAGTGACAGGACTGAGCCATTGAGGCACACTCAGATGCAAGATGTAAGGTGTCAAGGTACCAGTCCCTCACTTCAGAGTCCCTGATCAGATGAAGTCAAGTCTATGGCTTGTTCGTAGGCCTTCCTGTGGACTCCTTGTTTATCGTAGGAAGATATATTTAAAACCAACAATAAAGCCTGCACCCTTTTATCCACCAAATCTGTTAGGGGACCTACTTTCAGGAATGCGCCATGTCAATTCTCCAACTCGTGCTTACAGTTGAAAAAAAATATATTTTTTTTGGCTAAACTTGATAGCTGTTTTCATTGGCCAGTCCCCCCCCCACCCCCCAGTTCTCACTATACAGCTCTGGCTGCCCTGGAACTCATATGTAGACCAGGCTGGCCTTGAACTCACAGATCTGCCTGCCTCTGCCTCCCGATTTCTTTTTTTTATTCATAGTATTTGCAATGTGTTTGCCAAATGCATAGGGAGGCAGAAACAAGAGTCACGGGGTAAAATGGCAATGCAAAGAGGGAGGGAGACATTAAAATTACAGCAGAAAGCAATGGAGGAATCCAAAGAAAGACCCAAATCCCGCCGCTTCATCCCTCACACGACTCCACACAGACAGTTTTGAGAGAGGAGACTATTTACCAGTGTGGCTTCGCTTGTGAACCATCAAGACATTGAAGCTGATACAGGATAACCCGCACACATCACAGTTCATCTTCCCACCGGTCGGCCTGCCGCTGTCGTACGGAACGTGTCTCTCCAGCTTAATGCTTTCATATTCATTATATTCTCTTGCATAGCTGTAAGGAATTTCACTCTCGTCTGCATTTCCTATGGGCTCCGGCTTCAGAATGCTCTCATCTCTTTCGCTGTATTCATCCTTCACTTTCATCGAGTCTTCTGCAGGGGACATAAGTGCAATAAATGAACAATGACTGTATTTGAAGCCATGAAACAGCTCAGAAAAGAGGCCCACAACTGATGATTGACTACAGAGAAAACTCATGGAACACTGTATACATACAAAGCAAGAGAATGCCAGGAGGGTGATCACTCATTATTTGAATTTAGAAACACAGTTACACACACACACACACATACACACACACACACACACACACAGAGATAGAGAGAGAGAGAGAGAGAGAGAGAGAGAGAGAGAGATGGTAATGTCTTAGGTCATCTAGAAGATTAGAGTCAGAAGTTTTAGCTGTTACTTTCCAAAGAGACTAGGAAACAAACATTTTGAACAACCAGTCCCTAGTCCTTGGAGAGGAGGAAGAGTCTCAGGTCTTTTTTGGTGGCTGCGTTTAGAAAGGCAATGGGATGCTGGACGTTGGTGGTGCACACCTTTAGTCCCAGCACTCACGAGGCAGAGGCAGATGGATCTCTGTGAGTTTGAGGCCAGCCTGGTCTATAGAGCAAGTTCCAGGACAGGATCCAAAACAATACAGAGAAACCCTGTCTCAAAAAACAGAATAAAAAAAAAAAAAGAAAGAAAGAAAAAGAAAAAGAAAGGAAGGAAGGAAGGAAGGAAGAGAAGAAAGAGAAGAAAGGCAATGGGACACACTCTTTGGTTTCAAGATGAAAATACCATTTTGTTGCTACTGGTCTCCGTGCAGACCACTAAGATTGAGAGTGGAATAGTGAAACCATTTTTTTTTTTTTTATTTGAGTTGAAGCCATCCATGCTTTGTCTTTCCTTCCTTGTGAACTGTGGGGAAAACTCTCATCTCTCTCTCTCGGAAGCACAGCCGGCATTGGAAGCAGCAGAAGTGTTGATGTTGGTGAACAGTGTTGAAAGAGACAAAGAAGAAATAAGGTTTTAAATCCAACTCCAGGAACCGCTCTATGGACCTGGGTGAGCTGGGCTCAACCCAGTTAAGGGAAGAGACAGCTAGACCTAATCTAAGTAAGACCAAACTCAAGACCCTACATCAATTAATTGTAGGGCTGGACTTGAGAGGAGGGACTGGCCCAAGTGAGTTGGATGACTAAGTGCCTGAGGGTCAGTGATCAGGCTAGGCTGGCTAGCCAGCCAGTAAGCACCAGGGATCTTTTTGTCTCCTCAGTGCCAGAATTACAAGTGCCTGCCTTCATACCTGCCATTTCATTTGCTTAAGCCCTCTACAATTCTTTTAGGAAGAATAACATAAGACACATAGAAGGCATGCTGGACGTGGTAGTAGACCACATCTACTTTATTGCCATCCCTCGGGATGCTGAAGCAGGCAGCAATCTGTGAGTCACCTCAGTTTAGTTCACACAGTTTACACAGGGACCAGCCTGACCCCCACCCCAAGGGGAAAAAAAAACCCTAAAAACATTTGCCTTCTGAGACCAGCAGTTGTAAGAGATTTCTGATATAAAGTGTGCTGTATAAGTACCTATTCTCTCAGAGACCAAGGCTTTAGTCTTTGGAAGTTTTACTTCTCCACGAAGAAACGTATCAATGGGATTTAGAGCAAAAGAGAATTTAGACATCAGTCAATCCAACCTTCTTTTTTCTTCAACAGGAAATGTAGAAGCAGAGATGCCTTTAGCCATTTTCCCAATTTTACACAGTCGGTTCCTGGCACAGGTGTAGCGAGAACACTGTGCTAGTGATGGAGAGATGGCTGGGCAGCTGGGAGCACTGACAGCTCTGGCAGGGGACCTGGGTTTGGTCCCCAGCACCTACCTGGTGGCCCGCAACTACCTATAACACCAGTTCCAGAGGATCTGGTGACCCCTTTTAACTTCCCCAGGAACACAGGTGGTCACAAACATACCTTCAGTCCAAACATTCATACACACAAAATAAAAATTTAAAAACAAACAAACAAAGGAGCTAAATTTAAATTATCAGTGAGTTGGATTTGACCCCATACACTCATATGAAAAAAGTCTAGGTGGCTGTTTAACAACTCTATTCCACACCCTTCTTTCCCTGGGGGTGGATGTAAAAACCCCAAACAATCTGAAAAAAAAAAAAAAAAGATATTTTTAAAAACGACATCCCTTCCAAAACACATCAGAAGTGTTGATTCCACGGCCACAGGGGAAGGTACAAGGGCAGCTGCGGGCTGCCTTCTACCCGGTTTCAATTTTCACCTCTGTCAAGGTTACCTTTCATCTAGATTAACTGTGTTTGCTTAACAGAGCGAGACAAGGCCCAACCACCACCGGCAAGGCCACGGCCGCCACTGTTCCACTAATCACCACAGGTCATGGTTCGCAACCTCCTGACTACAGCAATGCACGGCTGCAGAATAACACAGGCCACGTTTGCCACACTAAGCATCTTGGTTAGCTAGGAAATGATTTCTGTGTCCTGTAGGGGAAGAGGTGACTTCTCTTCTCTCTCTCTCTCTCTTTTCCTGGATGGATCTTTCCTGTTTTCATATGGAATTTGTTTCCTTGAATGTTGTTTTTGGTTTTGTGGTTTTTCACTTTTTAAGAGAAGAGTGACCCGGAGCTGGTGTCCTCTCTCTGCCTCTGCTGTCCCAGCTGTGAGTGACATCCCACCAAAGCTTGAGTGCACTTCAGTTTGCATGTAGGCGTTTAAAAGAACCTCAACGGAAAACTTCTCCTACTGAGAACCAAACCCAGCAGATTGAAAGGGCCAGCAGAAAAGATTCCGTTTCATTTGGGTTAGAAAACGTGACCGTGCCGGGAAGTGTGGCGCACGCCTTTAATCCCAGTATTTGAGAGGCAGAGGCAGATGGATCTCTTGAGTTTGAGGCCAGCCTGCTCTACAGAGCAAGTTCCATGAGAGCTAAAGCTACACAGAGAAACCCTGCCTTGAAAAAATAAACAAAAAAGAGAAAGGAAGAAAGAGAGAGAGAGAGGGAGAGAGAAAGTATGAACTTCACTACATTCAGGCCACTACACACTCCCGAGTGTGGGTCTTTCTGCAAACGGGACCAAGGACAGCTGCTTCTTTTGTCATGATTTTGGCTGTGGATGCCTGACCTGGAACCCCAGCCCAGCTCACTATCAGAGCTTGGCTTTTGAGTCCTCAGCTGTAGGGCAAGGAAGGCAGTATTGAAGATGGGGGAGGTAAAGAAAACTTTAAGTGGGTGGAGCATTGGAGAAGTGTATTCAACTGCTACACCGAAAAAGATCCAGGTATGGTTGTCTACTCACCAGTTCTAGATAAACGATCTGGGTAACCTTGCTGCGTGGTGACTGGGGTTCAGCAACCTTATGGGTTATCATGGAAAGGCAATCAGAGGTGCAAACTCAAACACACGAGAGACAAAGACGCAAATAAGATTCCTGAGAGATTACTGGGCTCAGCCCCAGCCTCCAAACATGGGCCGCTGAACCCAAAGCCGGAAAGTAACCAGACTCCTCTAATGAAGAGATTTATTCCATCCTTTGGGAGGAAGATTTGTTGGAAACAAAGAAAGGAAGGACTTCTACTAACAGCACACAATCTCTGACTCCGAAAGGATTCATTCCTAAGCGGTGCGCTCTCTTCTTCAGTTCTTCAACTCTGGACACTGGCATGGACACTGCATTGTGTCAGTACTTTGGGCTTCAGATTCTCTAGGGCAAGCTCCTTTCCCAGTGCTCTTTGCGGTCTATGTGGGCCCTGCGTCACGGAGAACCTCAGTGCATCCTCTCTCCTAATGGCTTTCTAGTCAGATTAACAGTCACTGCTTCTAATGCCTCAAAATTCCCTGTAACCTGGGTTCTGCCTCCACACCTAATTGACTCTGTCCTCTGCGCCAGTCTACTCATCCATCAGTACAGTGTGTCCCTGTTTGTCGCTCTCCAGAACTCCTGGACACCGGACACCGTTCCCTGTCCTTCTGTGCTCCTAATTCTCCAATGAAACTATCTCTTTTCTGATTGATTGGTCCTTTCCCCAATTTACCTCTTAGTCACTGTTGCTCACCCTCTGTTTCCTCCCCTCCGGATACTTCTCTTTGGCGTTTCATCCATTTGTAAAGGCTCCAAACAACACCTTCTATGGTGAGTCCCCAGATGACAGCTCCCACATATACCTCCTCCTCAATCCTCTTTCCAGATCTTCTAAAATCAAAGTATTTCTTTCCAGTTACTCAAGCTACAGTTCTCATGACCATCATTTCTTTTTCTTGTTTGGGCCCCATGTCCAAGGACTCACCAGTTGAGTTCTCACATAACCCTCACTCTCCGTTTCCCATACCCATTCCTCAAGGGCCCTGCTCTCCTGTGGTCTGTCGGCTCCATGCTGTTCACCCTTCCAGTTCAAAACCCGCGAATATTCTCCACTGATAACAAAATAAAGTCCAAATGCAGGAACAACCCTAAAATGGCTGTTGGTATCTGGACCAAGCTTATCCTTAGGATGTTGGCTTTTACTACTCAGACATCTTCACCCAATGAAATCTAAGAGTCCTTGCTTTGTTCATATTATTTCCATCGACTAGATGGTCTTTCCCTACCCTTGCCACAAGGCAAATCCTACACATCTTCTAAAGCCAAATTAACACAATGTTTCCCCACTATGTCTTCCCGAATCCCATCAGCTGGAAAATTAGCTTGTTAGTTTGTTCTTTCTTCCTCTAGGCTATTTATAAGTTCTTTCTTATTCCCTGCAGCCACTAAGATGAGAGGTCTGTCTCTCTCTCTGCAATCTCTGTGTGTGTCTGTGTAACTCAGTCCTCTCTATGATGTCACTAAGCCACTTTCTACTAAGAGCAGACGTGGGCACCAGGACTCACATGAACATCTCTGCACATACACACATATTAAAAAAAAAAAAAAAAAAAGAGCTGAGGTGTTGGGCTCTACAGTACATGCCTGTTGTCCCAGCTTCTCAGGGGGCTGAAGAGGAAGGGCCACAAGAGCTCATGGGCCTGAGAATATTGTGGGCAATATGAGACCCCATATCAAAGACAGCAGCAACAACTGCAAAACCAAACAGA